GCTGCTGTTCTCTGCTATAGAGACTGCAGAGATTCATTACCTCAGCCACAATGCTCATTTATCACCCTGTGGCGTTATTCAAATCCAGTGCCAATCGAAGACAATCGCCCTTTTTTTTTCCCCCCTTCTCCTTTGGTCACTATACGTTTTATTGTTAGGTAAAGCTCACAGCTCCTGCACTAAGCGAGCAGTCAGCTCTGTGCAAAACGCATCAGACGGATCAACATCTAAAGAGCTCCACAGAGAGAGAGAGAGACACAGAGAGAGAGAGAGAGAGAGACGAGAGGGTTTGTCAAGAGACACACAGAGAGGGAGAGAGAGAGAGAGAGAGAGAGACCGAAATGACACCTTATTTTTTTTTGTAGGGTGGGAAAAAGAATCGAAACTATTGGGAATACCGATGCGTTGAGGAGAGGACAGAAATGGGAATTAAGCAAGCCATCTATTTTAAAGGGTATTCCAGGTTTTCTGTGTGTGTGTGAGTGTGTGTCTGTGTTTATCTCTGTGTGTGTAGGTGTGTGTGTGTGTTTATCTCTGTGGGTGTATGTGTGTGTGTTTATCTCTGTGGGTGTATGTGTGTGTGTGTTTATCTCTGTGTGTGTGTTTGTGTGTACTTGGTTTGCTGGGAGAAATAATCTGTCTGAACCACAGGCAGTGCTGGTGGGTGAGTGAAATGATACCTTTGAAATGTTAACAATAATAATAATAATAATAATAATCGTTGCATTTGATACAGCGCCTTATCACGTCTTAAGAGACGTCTCCAAGCGCTGCATGGAATCTACCGCAAAATGAATCGGACTGTGTCTTGCGGGCGAAACAAGGGAGAGAAAATAAATACTTGTAGATTTCATATCATTTCATTTCATGTGATTTTTTTTAGGTGTTGGGGGAGAGGTGGGGGGGAGGGCGGGGTGGGCAAAAGATTATTTTGTCTTGACAGAAAATGGTGGCCATTAAGATATCACACATATTTAAGATGTGGTGTGTGTGTGCGTGTGTGCGTGTGTGGTTGGTGGGGGGAAATATTCAATATCTTCCTTATATCGCCTGCAGTCTGTTTTTTTGTGGGGGGTAGAAGGAAACGTGCCATTTGATTCCCATCAACACCAACAACAACAGCACAGAGCTTATTGGATGAAAAAAAACTGGAGGAGATGTAAATTGAAGACGAGTGAGTGCATTTTGTCAGCGAAAATCTTCTTAAATGTTTGTGGGAAGAGATTGAAGGGTCCCACGATGCCTCCGGGGGGTCAAACACCCCCCCCCCAAAAAAAGAAAAGAGGCCGATAGAAAGACTCGCTATTGATTGTCCAAACGCAATTCTTGTCCTATTTAAAGTCGGAAACCGAGAATTGTGTGTGGACATCCGTAGCTGGATTTTCGTATTCTTCGCCGGGACCAAACCAGTGCGTTTACCAAGAACCGGGAGAGGATCCGGACACAGAACGGTGAAAGCTGATCACACATTAAAATTAATAGCTGATCTCGCTTCGCTACAGAAACAGGTACGAAAAGGCGATTGATTTAATTCATTCTGCACTTACTACTTACTGTGGTTGTGTCTTAGTTAAGACATTCTGTCCCAACTCCCAACACTGGGACCAACAAGGCTTACGCACTTATTATTATTTGCAGGAGTCAGTCGTCTTAAACTGTATGAACTGTCAGCTATTCATTCATTTTAATTAATTGTTTTAATGTAATATATATTTTTGAAAAAGTGTCAATGATGTCTTTCCAGCATTGTTCGCGTTAAATGGTAAATATTAGTGGTAGCGATGCAAAAAGACTGGTGTTCAAGGTTAAGATCACAGCGATGTAAATTCTTCACAGATCACTTGTTTGTTTATTTTTTTGCTTTTGGAATTGATATTTTACATCAATGTTTCCTCCAAAAAAATCAAAAAATGCGAAATTCATGCTAAGAATGATAGGGTTCTCTTTATGTTCTGTTGTCAGCTGTTTCTGTGCTCTGTAAATATGTTTCTTTATATATAAATACAAATAAAAACGGTGAGCTTAACATCCTCATCAACTTTCACCACAAATCTGACTGATGTGATTTAAGTGCACGCTTTTTTGTTATAAAACAAAAAAAATAAACTTGTTTGTAGAGATACACATAACATCCACCAAATACATACATATACATGAAATTTGTTGTTGTTGAAACACAGAATATTCCACTTGAAGTTTTGCAGCGATTTTTCTTTTAACAAAATTGTAGAACTGAGGAGATTTTGATTTGTAATATGATATAAAATCTCTGTGAATTGGATGTTTTGTTGTGGTGAAGTAGCATTGAAGGAGGTCGGTGTCTCTAACGTGTTATTTTCAATGGTGAAATCCGTTTTAAAGCGGTTAGATTCATTCTATGTGTAAAATATATATATGCACACATATATATACATAAAATGAATCTAAACACTTCAGAATGGTCTAAAATAATCCAATATATGTAAACATAATACACTAATAAAGGCACACAACAGGGGAACAAAAGAGAAAGCCCTTTTATTAAGTTATTGAAATTTTCTTCAGTCAGTGTCATTAATATTACACGTCGAACCATGCTTTATTGTCTAGTCATTTGAGATTGGATGCTCCAGTATAAAGTAATACTGGTGGAGGAGAGGGAGAGAAAGGCACACACACACACACACAGAGAGACTCAGAAAAAAGATTAGGGACAAATAGAAAATGAAAAGACTTCCTACAAGCTGCATCACACGTATAAACGTTAGTATATGTTGAACATGTAAAAGGAAACAACTTTGTATTTATTTCCTTTTAAAAAAAAACACCAATAAATGTTAACCAGGGGGGAGAATAGGGGGATATTCCTACAGCAAAGAGGGTAAAATTATAGTAAAGAGCGTAACTTCCTTTTTCCTTACCAATAGATAGAAATTACTCCATTTTGAAGCGGGGAATCATAGAAATTTATAGATAGCACGTTTTATCTGTTAGCGAGAACTCCTTTGCTCGGTGCAGTGTTTGTATCCCGAACACTGTGCAGGTCAAACATTACATTACATGTAACAAATGAACGGTATCTCTCGGGTGAACAGGAGAACGCAATTGTTTCAGCTTCACACACAAAAAAGGACAGGTTTGGATTTTCTTCAATAGCGTCTCTGATTTCTTTTCTAAATAATAATAATAATATAAAAAAAAAGGCCACTTTATCCACCGTGTAGAGTTGAAATAAACACAATGTTATCTCGGTCTTCAAGTTTATAATCCAGCTGTCCCTGCAAGGGATACAAATATATATTTATTGTGTGTATGGGGGGGTGGAGGGGGTTGAGGGGGAGAAACACCTTTGAAATAGATGGCTCAATACTGATGCTCAGTGTATTTTAGTACAAGTTGTAACATAACACGTGGTTTTTTTTGTAAAAATATGAAATGTTAAAAAATTATTTCGTTAAAATGTCCCACCAAAGGCACAGTGATGGCTCTCATTGGGTCTAGTCATTTATATTGGAACATTTCACCCAATAATATTGCAGTGAATTCTCTCCCTTCCCCACCTCCCCCACCCCCCACAATCCCCCTTTTCTGGCAATAATCCAAAGCTCCCAAAATATTGTTTGGAAAGGAAGTCTGGTGACGACTAAATTGGACCCCGACTACTGTATATCCTGGACCGAGAGCCAGATTCCTCCCATGGCCAGTGAATCAAATTGATTCAAACGCTGGCAGGTTGAACAAGAGAAAAAGGAGACTTTTTTTTTAAAAACAAAGAGAAAGCGCCACTTCCATTTAAACACATGGAATTGAACTATGTGTTGCCTCATCGAATTCAGTTTCCATTGTAACAGCAGCCATTTTCTACCTGGTCTGGTAAAATGGAGGGCATCACTCCGAATCCTTTACAACAAAATTAAACTTAGTTCAGCACATCCATTCATAAATAGAACTATTCCCGCTTTTTTTCCCCACCAGCCGAAAATAAACCTTCAAGTCACATCAGTCCAAAGCAATGGTTTGGCTCTAAATACCAATCGCTTCCCCCAATACATACACTACACACGAGAGGAGCTGCCAATATCAAGTCTTGTTGGCAGTGTCTTCAGACGGACAAGCACAACCGTTTACATTACTAACACTTCATGAAAATGGCATTTCAATGAAACAGAACAAAAGAGCTCACCACCATTAGCAAAACTCTTTCACACTCAAAATTTTCGATATACATCAATGAAATGTAATAACTTTGTTACATATTACGAATGCTTTTTTTGGGGGGTGGTTTGGGAAGGGGGGAGGTATTCACTAATTAGGTATTTACTAATTCGGTCAAGTGGTGCAAGGCAATTTCTGACCATAATCCACTCCATGTTTCTGTAACAATTGGATGGTCATTTCAATCAAGACAGTTGTATAGTAGGGATGTATGAAATTCTCAGCTTGGTTTGGAGACTACTCTTAAGCATGGTGATGGGTTTCTGCATGTGTTAGACACCCAGCTGACTAAATAAAAAGATATGCACTAAATCCGGTCAAATGGTGCAGGGCAATTTTTATCAATAGTCAATTCCATGTCATTGTCATAATTATAATCGGATGGTGATTTCAATAAAGACAGTGGAAACAGAAATTATTATTGAAACCAAACAATTCGGAGTCTGTCATACCAACCATTAGTTCCCAGTCAGCTTCATTTATTAGAACCAAGATCCCAGGTCTCCTGAAAGCACAGACACCACACAATTAAAGAAGGGCTCGGGGTTGGGACAGGGAACGCACAGCCCTACCCCTGCCTGGTTCTCACTTGTCCAACTTAGTAATGTTTAAATTCCTGGAGTGTTTGTGTGCATCCACTGCCAATTACACACTGGCAAAACAGACCGGGGGTCTTTGGCTTTGACTGGGTTTATTCGGAAAGTCTGGCTGTTTGTTGATCAACGGATTACTACAATAAGAGAACAATATTTTTTTTTGCAAGAAATTGCGCTCTGTAATGCAGTCGGCCTATTTGAAAATAAATATGTTGGAACATTTTCAGCTGTATTTGAATTTTATACTACACCAAATGCAAGAATCAATAAATCAAAATGCACCCATTTTATATTGCACTGATTTCCAATTAGGCATTTGACACAGGGCTTTTTCAAGAAATATATTGTGCAACCGGATTTGGATGGGAGAGTTTTCTTCTGTTGTTCAGTTCAAGGGCATGGTTTGTCTCCACCAGTACACTGTGATGTCAATCCAATCATTGAGTCATGAAATTGACATCTTGACAAAACGGCTGCATGGATAATAATTGTGTGTATATATATATTAAAACACACAACAGTGCAGAAAATGAATTAAAGTTTCGCAAAACGCATGCACAATCACATCTTGAAACAGTAACAGCAATGCACACAGATAAAGCCGATAACTGCAGGAGATATGAACTTACTGTAGTAATAATAATAGTTTTTAACAAAAAGTATATGACAACTGCAACTATTGTAGAAATGCATTAATTTGTCAATATTGATTTTGCAGGTTATACCATATTCACCTTTCTTTCAGGTGACTGCATGTTAGAGCTTTCTAAAATAAAGGAAATCAACTGAGGTAGACCTTATGTGATAGATATTCAGTGCACTAGGTAGCAGTCAAATTAAGAAATCCTGAATGTTTTTTTTCCTTCTCTCCAGCTCAAAGGAGCTGAGGCCGGTGTAGATTTCCCCCATCGAGACCAGCAAACTTGGTACAGAACCTGGGATGAAATTTGGAATTTTCCTGAATAACACACAGCAACATCTTACATATGGTCCGAAATTCCACCTCGTCATTGCCTGTTCAAGAACATTTTGACTTAAAATTTGATACTGGACAGAATTGTGGAATATTCTTCAATTCAATCTTAATTTAGAATGATTTCTTTTTTTAAAGAAAACTGCAAAAAACCTATTTCCAAATTTATACAGAATTTAGGCCTTTCGGCACGATCTTACATTTTAAAATCAAATGGTCTGAATGGGCTTGGACTAGATCGAATTTGGAGCCAAAGTTCTTCACGCCCATCCTCCTTTTAAGATCAATGCATTTGCTTAGAAATACACAGTCACTACACTTTACAGTAAATCCTGTAGAGGTGACAAAGACAATTATAAAGCAGCTACTCATTGCATTTGAGATCAGCTAACTCATCACAGACCTGGGATTGAACTTGGATCTTTGAGTCTGAAGGCCTGTCTCACACTTGGCAGTGACTCATGGGTTGGGGGTGGGGGGGGGGAAGAGGTAGAACGTCAATACTTTGTGCTTTATCAGATTACAACATTCTCCACATACTGAGTTGTTGCTCATCCCATTGGAATTGTTAATCACATCGCTTCAACCATTAAAGTCCCCATCCATCTGCCCCACTCATTTGCCACGTGTATAAATTCAACAACTCGAACCGAGTTGGTTCAATCGGGTTGTTGCCATTGCTAGGAGAGCCTGATCAACAATTATAATTAAAAAGAAATAGTGGGGTCAAATCTGTGTCATTTCTTAACCGTATTTCTTAACTAAATTCCCATTGACTGTGTGGGAGGGGAGTTCCTATGGGTCAGCTTGATGTACAGGAAGAATTCCCGTTGGCCTGACTCACATTCCCTTATTAAGAAATATCGCAAGTTTAGACGCCAATAACAATACACTTGTTTGATTGTGCATTGAAGCAAATCACAGAAGAGTTAGTGAAGCTTAGTGACTGCAGTTGGATAGGCAACATGGCAGCTAATCTGTTTCCAACAATGTGAGCAGCAATAAACAAAAAACAGTTTCCATTCTCGGAAATAATCTTATAAGCTTTCCTCAAACAGACATATTTACGGTAGTTGTCTGAGCTGCCATCAGTTGTTGCTCATCCCTAATTTCCATGCCTTATCCCCCAGCTCAGGACCAAATTCCTGACTGTTCAGCACCTTGCGATGTGCTCCCGACGTGAAAGGCGCTATACAAATGTAATTTTGTATTGTATTGTATTTTCCTCCACGGCCAGATAGGTAAAGGGCATTTGTGGACACAGGTCTGAGCCATTGCTGACTGGAAGGTTGACTCAGTCTGTGCTGAGTTCGCTGATCTGAGTCAGGTCAGTAATTAGGGATATAATCAGCCTCAACACCCACGGGTTATAAACCAGGTAAATCAGGCTGTGTCATACTGTTCCTACTGTCTTTTATTTCTTTTAAATTGATTCAAAGATTTTGAAATAAAATAAATTGAAAAACTTATGAATGACTGCACTTACCCATCACCACACTCCCCTGCACCAGCTGATTCACAAGTGCAAATCCCCATAGTTTAAAAGCTCATGTACAACGAGGAAATGCACAGTCACTTGGCAGCGTGCTGAGGCTGAGAAGGGGCTTCAACTAACAGTCCCAAATGCTATCAGAGCTATTAATTTAAAGAGTCTACAAATAGAAGCCATCAGCACATCATTTAATGATCAGAGCCAGAAGAAACCTGTTTGATCCTCACACTCACTTTAATTGTCTCCTCAAAACTGGAGCACTGCACACTTGAAGCCACTCGATATGCCCTGAATGTTAAACAGAAAAACTGCTCAGGTGTAGGCTCTGTCGTGAGACATCACACAATCATCGGCCTTACGTGACTGTGGGCCGATCAAGAGCGTCTAAGCTCAGACCATTGGGGGTGTGGGGGGCTGTGCAGAATACTGCAGGAAATATTAAAGGCCTGTGAAGGAGCTCGGGGTCAAAATAATCAGCCTCCACACAGATACTTAAACACTTGTCACAACAGGGACATTATAGCGGGAGATCCCTATAAATACGGTAAATGTCTTAACAAATCACGAGTGCATCTCGTACCCTTGAGTGAACGATTCCGGGGAAAATAATGAGCTTCATTAATATTGATGAATCACAGCCGCCCCCTAAACTCTCAGCTCTTGTGCGAGACCACATGAGAGGCAACACCGATTGTTTATGGCTTCCCTCACATTCATGAATGATCCCCCTTTAATGTTGTGTTTTTATTCCATTATTTTATTTTGCTGGCGAGGGAGGACAGTGCGATGAATAGCAGCTGAATCTCCCCAATCGTTTGCAACACCAGGACCAATTTCATGTGGGATTCTCTCCTCTCCCACCCTCCCCACTCCATTCCCCTTGCAGCGAGTTGCCGTCATCTGAGGGGGAAATACAGTGGGGGCAGAGTGCGGGAGGGCGGTGTTCATGGGGAAAAAAGGCTTATATGCATTCCCTCAGGGCATCCAAAGTCGTGAAGTGTGGCCCCCAATCCTCAATGACTTTTGGCATCTTCCAAGAACATGGACACATAATGTTATTCACCGCATGTCCACCGAGGTATTGGGAATCAGGTTTACACTTACACAGTGTCACCTTGAATGAAAAGCTCTGGCCTCTCCTTGAGCAAATTGGTTTTAATCCACACAAGAAGCTGTCGGACATCCCCTGAAAAAAACAAAACACAGAAATGAGAATCAGTGTTATTCAAGAGAGCAACTCTTTCCTAGGTCTCTGCTCATCGCATCCTATAACCAGGAGGTGAAGAAGAATTGAGACATTCACAAGGACTCCCTCTCTTTGTTTCTTCCTTCCCATAAAAAGTGGCTGGCTAGTCCCTTTTCTCCCCAGGGAAGAGATTGGGAACTTGGGTAATGAACTAATAGTGTGGCAATGAGCAATACTTGGCTTGCATGATAACACAGCAGTACTGTAGGTTGCATCAAAGGGTGCCTAACTAACACCAGACCAACACCGCCCAAACACCAATAATAGGTTAAACTTAGAGCAACTGAGTATGCTGAACTCCTACAGACAGGCTTGTATGCACCATCGCATCGAGTTCTTCGGCACTTGTTATCTTAGTTTTTATTTATTCAGTTTCTTCACCAGAGATACACACCCAATTCAATCTGCATGGAACAGGTTCTGACCAGTGAATCAGTACAGCTAGTGTAAATGGGTACAGCATATGTAAATAAATTGAAATAGAGTGTACGTGATGTATAAGGTGCAAACTTTAGTGAGGATCAAAGCATCCAGTTAATGCAGTAAATCTTGAAACCGGGAAAAACCGATATTTCTAAAGGGTTTGTTAATAAGGAATCCGGGATTGCTCCAGGTAAGTGGAAGTACGTCACGCAGACACACGGGAACACACTCCACTCTGACGCAGTCTCTTCCGGAGCAGAGTTCCCCCCCGGTTCGATGGGAATTCTAAAGGGATTCTTTATTAAGGAATCTCATTAAGAAATGCTGGGGGTTGAATTTTGTTCGTGTGACCTTGACCCGAATTTTTTTTTAAAAATTGTGAAATAAGGATAATAATAATAATTGCATTTGATACAGCGCCTCATTGTGTCGTTGAGACGTCTCAAAGCGCCTCACGGAATATATTGTAAAGCGGATTGACATGTGAACGGGATATTCAAGAAAGGCGAGAGAGCCTTGGTGGATACTGGGGACCCGTCAGCTGGACCTCCACAATGAGAAAAAAGCTAATGGAATTAGTCATTAGAAGCACAATGGAGCATGAATCAACAGCCCCTTCGTGTCAGGAGCTGGGGGGGAGGGGAGGGGAAAGAGAGGACAAAACAAAAGGGAGCAAATCCCTTTTGCCAGTCACCTTGAGCTGCCCGTTTGCTTGGAGCCAGACTGTCCCTCTGTCAGGGGAGGGAAGAAAATCAAGTCAGAGCAGGGTGCTCGACTTTCATTTTGTCACAGGGAAGAAAGACCGAGGTGTAATAAAAGTATGCGGACACCAGCAGTGTCCACTGAGCTGGAGATTCACTTTATTATCAGCCGTTACCTTGCATTTCACTTTACAGTATATTTTGTGAAGCCCTGTGAGAGTCTCAACGACGTGATATGGTGTTATATCAAATCCAAGGATTATTATTGCTTTTATTATTATTAGAGGTTAGTTTACAGAAGCACACTGTAATAGAAGGCTTGTGAGCATTTTCCCGTGGATGTGAAATATGAGCAATCAGTTGCAGAAGCTAGTGAGTCACTCAGGCCGGAATCACTCGATCTACACCAATGCCAAGCCAGGGTCATCATCTCAGCACAAAATGGTGTTCGCTTCCAGTTCACATTGACTCACGACCATACCATCTGGCCTGCAACTGCCCCTTTGTCCTGGGACCTGCGCAGTGACCCTCATTGTCACCCTGGGTGGAAGGCACTATATAGCACAACTTGTTGCTGTTGTTACTCTATGTTGTGCACCATTGGCTGATGGATCGCACAATTGGTGTCATCATCTCTCTATGTTGCCCCCCACCCACCCCCACCCCCTGCAAACAAAGGCAATTGGGGTTTATTTTCACGCAAATGAGCCAACTCAGTCTGTTGTCTATTTGACCACAGGTAGCATAACAGTTAAGCCGGATTCATTCTCACTTGTATGCCAGCACAGACACGAGGGGCCAAATGGGCTTCTTCTGTGCTGTACATTTCAGTGGTTCTAAGGTGTGCGGACGTCAAGTGAAGGACAGGATCAGGAAAATCTCAGAAGATGTTTATGAAAAACCTGCATGGAAGAAATAACATTATAAAACGGGGAGGACAATGCTAACAGGACATAATTCCATAAGATCCATTTTTCCTGCCGTAGATGTTGTAAATCCTTATGTGGGAAGCAGCGCAAAAGGTCACATAAAATCTGACTGTTATTGATTTCATCGTTCAACCTTGAGGGTTGTGTTTTTTTAAATTTTAAAACAAATACAATAAGACGGTTTTGTTGAAATATTTCAGCGTGTGGTTCCCCCCCACCACCCCCCCCAAGCCTTTTGGAAGAACGTTACAGAAGGAAAAGCGATTTCCGCAAGATTCCGGGTATCAAGCGGTTAAAGCAGTCAATGCCAAATTACCGCATTCAAAAGAGTGACTTCAGCTTGTATCACAGCGAGCGCTGGTGCAAGGCAGAGGCCTGTACTGAGTGCGCAGTAACACAGGGGGCTCTCTTGTTGCCAAGGGTGTCCTGGGAGTTATGTGCACGAGCTCCGTTCAGTGTGGCACCGCAGGTACGCGGACTGAGAAACCACCCCCAGCAGCCCCTCCGCTCTGCCTTGTGTCGGCGGAGCCACAGAGGGCGAGCCCGCTAATGGGGAAGTCATTTATCAGGAGCTGCACTCGAGACTTCAGGGTCATCCAGGCTGTCCCTGTGACTTCAGTCTCCCAACCTCCCCCAGCGGATTCCAGGTCCGTTTCACCTTTTGTGCTCCCGTCACCGTGGAGACGCTCGTCATTTGTTACCGTTATGTTGGAGCCGGGCGCTGGGTGGGGTGGTGGTGTGGGGGGGGGGGGGGGGAGAGATGGTGGGGGGAGCATGGTGAACGGAGGTGGGAGAGGGTAGGGTCGGGGTTGAATGGGACTGAGCAAAGAGGGTGGGGAGGGAAAGAGAGAGAAAACACAAACATAAGATGTTTCTCAAACCAACCCCCCCAAAACCAGACGTGAGCTTTCCCGCAACAATCATACAAAGGGCAACAGAACCATTCCTAGTTTATGGCTTCAAGGAGCAAATCCATTTGGCAAGAGCAAAGGCAGGGGTCCTGAAAGGCAGAACACACAGCACGGGTACCTTCCTGTCTATTTATAAACACTCAATGCGATGAGGCAAATGAGGTTGAAATGCAATGTCGCATCAGTTGATGCAACAACGTCATATCAGAAATATAACATGCGATTCTGCGGTCTCTTTTCTACTGCCCTTGATAGAGGTGCCGCACATTTATTGTTTTAAAATAAATTCCTCTTCAATACACGTCACTAACAACTAAACGTAATTGATCCTCCTGCGCTCCCCCTTCCCCGCCCCCCCCACCCCTCCTTCCTGGGGCCTGAAATTCCGCCTAGTCTAAGCCTGCGACGCCACCTTGTCTTAAAAATTTAAGGTCACCTAACATTGTGAAAACATTCTTAAATAGGAAGGAAGTCAGTTTTCTGCTGTTCTTAATCGAAGCTGAAGCTTCCAAATTGGAGTTGCATTTAAGGATATTCCACCATGCTTACATTTTAAGACAAAATGGTCTTAACAGGCTAAAGTGAGGCAGCATTTTGGGCCATCGAAAACGCACAGATTCATTTTGGAAGTTTGTTTCTATGGGTCCCAGCCGCCTTCCAATAAATGGCCCGAGTAAGCATTCTTCCTATGTGAGCCTGGATAGTGAGTGTCGGCAGGTGATTCATCCATGAATAGAGGGATCACTGCAGCCGAACCCTGATCTCCTCCTCATTTGACATTCCCACCCACTGGCTTTTCAGCAAGGCTGAGTACACAGTAACCGGGAGAAGGATCCCTGCCTAACCCAGAGAGTTGCATCTAATTATAATAATAATAATCCTTGCATTTGATACATTGCATCAACGAGACATCTCAAAGCGCTTCACAGGATTTTACTGTGAAGTGTAATGACTATGAATTTGTAGGCAAACACAGCAACCAATTTGCACACGGCATCGTCCCACGAACAGCCATGAAGTGAATGATATTATTTATCCAGAGCGGGGAGGTGGGGAGGACGTTGGCTAGAACACTGTGAGAAATTCCCTTTCTCTTTCAAGTAGTATGTTTGCCTGAACAGGCAAATGGACCTTGGTTTAATGTCTAATCCAAAAGATGGCACCTGCAACAATGCAATGGAGTGTCAGCCTAGACTGTGAGTTCAAAGCCCCAGTGTGGTGTTTAAACTCACAACCTACTGACTTGGTCTGTACAGGTCCCTGTGTGAGGCTCAGCTGTGAAGCCACTTGCAATTGTTTGTGGCGGAGTGGGATCAATGTGCCCCCAATGGCCTTCTTCACTCCTGTATTCCGACAAATCCATTATGCCTTTCACTCAGAGTAGTGCAGCTTTGTACAGCGATGCACCAAGTACACTTGAGTACAAGTAGTAATGAATCCACTGGGTGTCCAATATTTGCATGGTACGACAGTGTACTGTACCATGTATTGAACTCTCACTCTGAGCCAAATGAATTGAAAACAGTGAGCATTCTTGCAACAACAAAGTGACATTGAAATCCAGTTCAGGTCTTTAGCGGTCAGCCAGCTGACATGTGCAGAACTACAATCTGAATGAGCTGGGGTGTATGAATAAAAGAAAGTGTTAGCCAACAGATGCAGCTCAAATAAAGCCTTCAACAGAGACAGAGTCGAAATGTTGCTGATTCCTGATGGGTTTTAGGTTTGAATAGTTTTGACGTGCGCATGTGCGAAATCTTTACCTTTCAATCTCTCCCTCCTCCTTTTATTGTTTTTTTTGCAAAAGAAAACTCTTCAGAGGAAGACTCAAGATCCCTTTAAGAGACGAAGGAAGCACGACATGCCCACGTGTCACAGTCCCACCCGCAACAATGGCAGCTCATGTTGGCAAATCGTTTGGCTTCCACCACAAAGCACCCAGATGGCATTCTCTGCCTCACAACAATGGCAGCAAACACGAGCCAGCACGTCTGCCGCACGAGCACTCAAATGCTTTTTGTTTTGATGTAAAACGTCGGATAATGACGCCCTGTGTCCCCTCAGATCTTTGTTTGTCCCCCCAAAAAACCCTGGGATAATCTTAAAACCGCAAGATTCACGACGGACATATGTAAGGGGGCAAGCCAGTTGCAATTCAACGCTGGGGCCAGAGAAAAATAAGTTCTAATTGCTGTAATAAATTAGAAAGACACATCAAGCTTCACTGATAGCCTATTAGGGGTACAGGCACTATTAGTTGGAGCGCTGTAGACATTCATAGGGTGACAGGCTTTAACCACACTCTGGATTCAGTGAGATCATCTCAGCCAATGCAGTAATTAGGTTAGCAATTGGCCTCAGTGTCCCTCGGTTGGGAAAATTACTTAAGGTTATAGCTAGGTAGATGTCGATATATGATGCCCCCGTTCTCTATCCCGCCTCCCCCCCACTCCCTCGAACAAAGACAATTTAGGCAAGATAATAATAGTGGTCCTTAAGTTTGTAATAGCGGATTTGACGTCAAGAGGATGTTGAAAAGAGTTTCATAGGGTTCACTGGAAATAATGATAATAATAATATTTGCATTTGGAACATTCACTACCATCCCGCTAAAGAGTTCCACCTTTTGCCAAGTCCCCAAAAACCAAACAGGGGTGAGAAGAAAAGGAGGGCGGGCGCACGTTCTGAGTTTTTCTTTTTCTGGTGATAAAATTCATCGGAAACCTTTGTAGCTTGAGTTCACTTGAACGAAGCTGGCCCCAAGGAACCGCTGCATTGTTGGAGGTGCCATGCGTCGGATGGGACGTTAAACCGAGGTCCCCTCACCCCATCTACTCGTATTGCAGGTGGACTTTAAAGATCCCACAAAAAACAATGGCATCAAAGCAGGAGAGGAGCGACATTTGCCACAGGCGGAAGGTCTGCGGCAGGCACGTAAAGCATTTTGTACAGCTTTAGGCGGAACCCAGAACCCCTGTTCTGTAAACCTCATGGTAAAAGTGGTGAGAAATCCTAAGTTCAATTGCTATTATTAGTTGGGTAAAAATATACCTCTACCCTCACTTTCACCACCCCCCACGTCCTCCCCACCCACCACCAAAAAATGAATTCAGGAGGCAAGCTGCAGCATCAGTGACTACATTTACAAGTGAATGGGAAGCAACAAAGAGCTGGTTTGTGTAAGAATAGGACAGAAGATGGATTTTCACAGATGTTGCAAAGAGTCACAGCTCATTGTTTAATTAGGCAGAAACTTGCCTTTTAAATGTGATTTGCACAGAAGCACAGCGCGTTTAAACTTTGTTCAGAGTTCAGCAAACACCACTCTTCAAACTAACACAGAATGACCAGCTGGTAATGAGGAGCGTGTGAACCGAATATTAAATAGTTCAGTTCCCCTCTTCACCTATGAGATGAGGAGCTATATTTATTTTAAAGGGACAGCACCATTTGAACAGATTTGTCAGAATCAATGTGCATTGGAGTATGCAAAGCTCTCAATAATCACATCAAGGGCCACAAACTTATCACACTTAGGAAGACTGGGTGGCATTGACGGTTGTAACAGTGTGCACCACCTCTGGGTTTAGATCGAGGCTGAGCAACAGGGTGAACTTTTCCCTAAAACAAGCATAGCTTGAATGTGCCACTGATAGGCATCACATTGGCAATGTCATTCAGAGAGGCCTCAATATGGCTGTTGTAAGAAATGAAAATGTCACACTCTTGTGAGGTTTGGGGGAATAAGCCTAAGCCATATTGTTGGGACAGGTCGAAGAAAGAAAGAAAAGAAGAACTTGCATTTTTATAACGCATACAATGTTGAAACATCTCAAAGCACTTCACAGCAATTACCGTCAAGTGTAATGACTTTTTGTAGGCAAACGCAACGACAATTTGGCGCACAAGAAGGTCTGACAAAGAGTCGTGAGGGAAATACGCAAGAAGTACTGAATGATAGTTAGAGGTGATGAAAACTTTACTCTATTTAAGCATCGCGGTGTATCGTAAGACATCAATTGTCAGGTTCAACTCATGTGGTTGTTCATAATCAAATAGGATTTTGTGATTCAGAAGGCAATGTGAGATCTGACTCAATGTGGAGTCTTTAGGAGATCCGGAGACTGGGCATTCAGGTTTGTCTATAGAAACAAACGTTCAGTGTAAAACCGTTATGAGTAAGATGAGTAAGATGAGTACTATTATGAGCAATAGTTGAGGCTACAATTGGCTTCAGTGGGGAGGGGGAGGACAAAAGTCAGATCTCTCACATTTAGCTTAGTCTGGATTCAGAGCTCAGTTTTTACATGAACACACACTTTATATTCCCATTTCTTACACTCTGAATTGTACAATCTTGATATAAATTCAATGTGTATTCCAGCGAACTGCACAGTAAACATTTTCTATTTCATCAACTTCAACAGACTTCTATAATGTACCCCCAGCTGATGTACTCCCTCCCCTTCTGTCCAGCTCAGCCGAGATCTAATATTGGCTGATCAATTATGTGAAGACGGTAACCACCCCCCCACAGGGCTCACTAGGGCTAGCTGTTTTATTGTTGTTTGTTAGATGGTAAAGTTCCCTCTCTTTCTCTCATTTTTAGTCTCTGCAACAACTTGCATTTATAAAGCAGCCTTCACGTAAGGATGAACATCTCAAAACGCTTCACAGATAACCTACGAAGCACTGAGCAGGCAGGGAGAATGAAGAATGATGACCAAGGATGCCATGAAAGAGAAACTTTGTAAGGAGAGTTTTAAAGGCAAGCTGAGAAGGCGAAGATGGTTAGGTAGAGAGTTCAAGAGGGCAGAGGCATAGTAACTGAAGGCTCCTCACAAATGAGGAGCGAGCGACAGCCCAGAATCAGAAGAGCTGCGGCAAATACATTACACGTTTATATAGCACCTTTCACGTAAAAGAATACCTCAAAGAAACTTACAAAAGGAGGATAATTCACAGAGTGTAATGTAGGGCAAATGTGCTGTGGATATTTGCAATCTTTCGACATAAAAGTTTGAAATAAAAAGTTTATTCTCTTACAAGGTTGGCAACCTCATTTAAAAGAATATAAGCCACACTCCTTCGATAAGAAACCTTTAAAAGGACCTATTGCATCTTTTGGTTATGAAGTAAAGACGTTTTGTTCCCAGACAGTGTTTAGATTTAATACAGAGAGATTCCTGGCAGTAAAGCTTTGATGGAGCAGAAAGCCTTTCTTCCCCCCTCCACCACTCCCTCCCTTCTGAGGACGATATTGAGAGTGGCTCAGCAGGACAATTGTCACGGATAAGGGTGCATTGTTGGAGCAATGCCATGGTTGCCTAGCACTGCTGCTGTCTCTGGCTTGTACCATCACTGACCTAAGGAATGGGGGGGAGGCGGGGGGAGAAAACTACATGCTATCAACTCCCAAGTACAAAAGGGGGAAAATGCCATACTTTAGTCATGACAACCCACGATCACACTGGGGGGTGGGGGGGAAGGGCTGATAAATAAATAATAAATGTGATGGGGGTTTATTAATTGGGTCTGGCTGGCAGAACTGCACCTCCCACATGGTGGGACAGTGCCACTAGAAGCACAAATAAAAAGTTTTCAATCCAAAAAAGAGGAATGAAGGAAACAGGGCTGAAAACAGGGCCAGTCAAAAGACGGAGATAAAAGCCAAAACACTTGTTTAAACTGTGAAGGTAAATACCCCACAATCACTATTGAAAGGAAGAACTTGCTTTTTTTTAAATGGCACCTCATCCCATCAAATTATGTGAAAGTGCCTCAAAAGTAATTATTCTCAAGTGCGGAGTGTTTCTTGTTTGTCGATTTGACATCGACTCTACAGTCCAGAAGCGAGTCAGTGTTAAAGATCACGGTGGGAAATATATGATGTCAAACACTGCAGATTCATTCAGAGTGAAGTCAGGAGATATTTTCCATTACATACACTCTGCAGGAAAGCTGCAATCTTTAACATGGAGAGGTTAACTTGTTCAGGGTTGGGGGCGGGGAGGTGGGGTGTGGTGCACTGACAAAAGGTGGACATGACACCACTGGATTTCCTACAAGTATCATGACCACTGTGACATTATCCTCATGATCGCTCATAACTGGAATCCCTGATACTGAAGAGAGACACCGATTGCTTCCAGTTTGTCAGACATCTTCACGTTCATAACTCTATACTATCCACTCCCTTTGCTTTGTTTCACGTCTGGCCTAGACACAGGTGCAGTGCGTGACATAACCATGTTCCATATGTGACGGTGTCACCCTCCATGGTCACATTTGGAATGTGATTATTGGCATGCAGCATAGGTCATGCCAGGAGAGACCTAAATGTTATATATAATCACCGTGGAAATGGGAGCAGAGACCAGAGTACAGTATCTATGTTGACTCAAGATACTAAACTGGGGGAAGTTGCAAATAACAGAGAACGGAATGGCTAAATGTCTATCAGGATGGATTAACCTAATAGCATTCTGACACTCACAATCAAGCTGAGTGTCAGCATGATTAAAAGCCACTTGGGCAAAGTACTGGAGGGCACCTGACACCTGTGAAGCTACCACTGTAAAAAGGAAGCGCAAAAAAAATGAAAAATAAAGACTACGATACTCACATTGTTCTGATTGGCTGGGAAGTTTCACGTGTTGTTCCTTAGTGCCATTAAACAAGAGTTCTGCACCACCTCTGAAACAGAAAACCATGAATAATTTGAGTCATGTTGAAGAATACAACACAGTTTACATTTATATAGCACCTTTCATGTCAGAAGGACATCTCAAAGCACTTTACACTGCTGGCTGGGCACTCAAGCTGGAAAGTGGAGTTGAAGACGGTGAGGAGAGAAAAGATGACTGAAACCACTGTCCAAGATGCAAGTCCTGAAGCAAAATAAAGGAGTTAACACTTGCTGCAATAATATACTACAGAAAATCACTGCCCTCCAGTACTTAGAAGTGGCCATTTGTTAGATTGCTACTAACTGATCCTTTCTGCAGAATCCATGCGTAGACATCTGGCGAGCAAAGATCAGCACACTGCACAGTTAATACCCTGCCAACACTCACTATCCCAGCTCAGGTACGATACGAAGAATTGACCCCTATGGTATATGAGTTCTATTTTCAGCTACAAATAGTATAGATCTGGATACTTTGGACAAGAAACACCAAAGTCAGCTTCTCCTGGTGGTTCAGTTGGGACAGCCCCTTGCTAGCTTCAAATTGGGCCATACAGACGTGAAATATCCCAGGTGCAATCCATAGACTGTATTTAATTAGTCCACTTCAGCTCTGCTTCAATTCGTCTCTGAAACCTTGGTCAAGGGACTTAAACACTCCGAGACACTACCCCGCATGAAGGGCGTTGTTGTCTAGAGATTTTATGCGCCTGAACAAATGCTTTGGGATGTCCCCCCATTGTGAAAGGTACTATATAACCATGTATTGTACTTTCATCTACAAATAGTAAGTGCCTCAGTAAAATCTATTTTGAGTCTTCTCGACAAAGTCATACCAAATCAGCCATATGAAATTCAAGGGTTTTTATTATTATTAACACGTCAGTGACACCTGTCGGAAATGTGCCCATTAGTTGATGACAGGAGTAACAGTGACCATGTTATTCCCTACTGTTGAATAGATGGAACACTGAGAGTCCTGTCAGGGTCAATGAATCTATGGCTCAGCATAGCATTACATTGAGGAAAGTGAGTCACCATTTCGGGTCCACGACCCTTTGTCAGAACTAAACGAAGGGCCCCGACGAAGGGTCTGGATCCGAAACATTGACTCACTTTGCTTTCTCCATAGATGCTGCCTGACCTGCTGAGTGTTCCCAGCCACTTCTGTTTTTGTTTCCAAGTAGTGTTCACTCTCCAGGTCCATGTACAGTACACAGAAAAAAAAGCCTGTCAACTGAATCAGCATCTTCAGGAGATCTGATTTGAGGGACAGCATTTGGAACGGAAAACACGGAGAGCAACCCTCAACCACGATGGGCTGAATGTCCTTCTCGTGTCCCGTGAATTAATTTCGCCCATAAAGAAAGAAATTAAGACAGACAGACAGACAGTCAGTCAGAAATATGCCAACAGACATTTGGGAGGGTACGTAGGGCAGCCACCTAAAGAAAGGTAGGAATTTGTTTAAAGCTGTCCATTTGCAGAGGGGGTTGGTGGGGTGGGGTGGGGGGGTTATCAAATTAACCTAAACCTCACACCCCAGGCGCACAGTTATCCATCCCCATTCCCCTCCCCCCAGATTCCCCTCCCCCCTCTCTCATCCCACTCTCTCCCCCCCATTCCCCCTCTCTCTCTCTCCCCCCCCATTCCCCTCCCCCCCTCTCTCATTCCCCTCTCTCTCACCCTCATTCCCCCCCCCTCTCTCTCCCCCCCATTCCCCCCTCTCTCTCCCCCATTCCCCTCTCTCTCTCTCCCCCCCATTCCCCCCTCTCCCCCCCATTCCCCCCATTCCCCTCTCTCTCTCTCCCCCCATTCCCCCCTCTCTCTCTCCCCCATTCCCCCCATTCCCCCCTCTCTCTCCCCCCATTCCCCCCTCTCTCTCCCCCTCTCACCCCCTCCCCACCCCCGGGGGGGCGGGTGGGGGGGGGGGGGGGGCAGCGAGAGTGACAAGGAACTGAGCATCCGGCGGGAGGGGACACCGCGTAACAGACAGCCCCCGTCGCTGTGCAGCTTAAACATAAAGACCCCCTCCTCCCCCCCACCCCCTCCCCCCCCAACATCATTCAAAACCCCCTCAAACCTGAACTCCAGGTGCAAACCGATGGGCGCCGCCATGTTTACCCGGAAGCAGTTCGGCCGCGTCCCCCGGAAGTGCTGTCGGTGTCTCTCGGAGCCACGTGACGCTGATTCAATAGAAATCTATTATTGGGGTCAAAAAAGGGCTCAGGTTCAGCCAATCAGCAGCTGCTCCAGAGCTCCAGCACTGACACTGCACCGTCACCATCAACACCGACACCGTCAACACCAACACCATCAACACCAACAGCACCGACACCGTCACCATCAACACCAACACCATCAACACCAACAGCACCATCAACACCAACACCATCAACACCGACACCAACAGCATCAACACCGACACCATCAGCACCGACACCATCAACACCAACACCACCAACACCAACACCATCAACACCGACACCAACAGCACCGACACCGTCACCATCAACACCGTCACCATCAACACCAACACCACCAACACCATCAGCACCGACACCATCAACACCGACACCAACAGCATCAGCACCAACACCATCAACACCAACACCAACAACACCGACACCATCAACACCAACACCAACAACACCGACACCACCAACACCATCAGCACCGACACCATCAACACCAACACCATCAGCACCGACACCATCAACACCAACACCATCAACACCAACAGCACCGACACCGTCACCATCAACACCAACAGCACCGACACCGTCACCATCAACACCGACACCATCAGCACCGACACCATCACCATCAACACCGACACCATCAGCACCGACACCATCACCATCAACACCAACAGCACCGACACCGTCACCATCAACACCATCACCACCAACACCGACACCACCAACACCAACACCGACACCACCAACACCAACACCAACACCAACATCACCATCAACACCAACACCGACACCACCATCAACACCAACACCATCAGCACCGACACCATCACCATCAACACCAACAGCACCGACACCGTCACCATCAACACCAACAGCACCGACACCGTCAACATCAACACCAACAGCACCGACACCATCAACACCAACAGCACCGACACCATCACCATCAGCACCGACACCATCACCATCAACACCAACACCACCAACACCAACACCATCAGCACCGACACCGTCACCATCAACACCGTCACCACCAACACCATCAACACCAACACCAACAGCACCGACACCAACACCAACAGCACCGACACCATCAACACCGACACCATCAACACCAACACCAACAGCACCAACACCATCAGCACCAACACCGTCACCATCAACACCAACAGCACCAACACCGTCACCATCAACACCAACAGCACCGACACCATCAGCATCAGCACCAACACCATCAGCACCAACACCGTCACCATCAACACCAACAGCACCAACACCGTCACCATCAACACCAACAGCACCAACACCGTCACCATCAACACCAACAGCACCAACACCGTCACCATCAACACCGACACCATCAACACCAACACCATCAGCACCAACACCATCAGCACCGACACCAACAGCATCAGCACCAACACCAACAGCACCAACAGCATCAGCACCAACAGCATCAGCACCAACACCGACACCATCAGCACCAACACCAACAGCACCAACAGTATCAGCACCAACACCATCAACACCAACACCATCGGCACCAACACTATCAGCACCAACACCGTCATCACCAACACCATCAACACCGACACCAACAGCACCAACGCCATCAACACCAACACCACCAACATCAGCACCAATACCATCACCAACACCATCAGCACCAACACCATCAGCACCAACACCATCAACACCAACACCATCAGCACCAACACCAACACCATCAGCACCAACACCATCAGCACCAACACCAACACCATCAGCACCATCAGCACCAACACCATCACCAACACCATCACCATCACCCTGGTCCATGCCTTTGTCACCTCTCGGTTGGACTACTCTAACGCCCTCCTCGCCGATCTCCCATCCACTACCATCCATAAAATCCAAATCATTCAAAACTCTGCCGCCCACATTCTCACCCGCACTAAACTCCATTCCCCGATCCCCCCAGTCCTGGCCAGACTGCACTGGCTGCCTGTCCCAGAGAGGATCGATTTCAAGATCTTCACCCTCGTATTCAAGTCCCTGCACTTCTCTGCGCCTCCCGACCTCTCTGACCTCTTCTCTCCTCAAAACAGTACCCGTTGCCTCCGGTCCTCTGGGTCTGGCCTCCTCCTTGTCTCCTGAATCCTCCGCTCCACCCTCGGCGGCCGTGCCTTCAGCCACTATGCCCCGAGACTCTGGAACTGCCTTCCTCACTCCCTTTATCTCGATCCCTCCCTTCCCATTTTCAGGTCTCTGCTGAAGACCTTTCTTTTCGACCACACCTTTGATCACCTTCCTCCCCCTCCCCCTCCCTTTCCCCCTGGCTCGGCCCCGGGATCCGTTACTTTAAAGCGCTCTGAGACACATCTGGCGTGGAGGGCGCTTTATAAATCCAAGTTGTTGTTGTCGCCTCGAAGGTGTGAGAAAGCTCTATATCAAATGCAAGGAATATTATTATTATAATAACTTAATACTGCATAATAATAGTAACTTAATACTGCATAATAATAACTTAGTACTGCATAATAATAACTTAATACTGCATAATAATAACTTAGTACTGCATAATAATAACTTAGTACTGCAAGGGCATCATAACATATTAAAGCTTTTATTTTGTGTATATGTTTTGAGTTATTGGAACTCAAAAGCTGTCTCTTTAACCTTTTTATCAAAATATTTTATTTTAAATTCAAAACTATTTTCAGCTCAACAAGTTCATTTCGAAAAGTGCCATGGGATACCCCCTCCTCGCTCCCTGCCTTCCCTCCCCTCACCCTGACCATTTCCCCCTTCGGGTCTTGACCCAACTGTCCAGCGCCTTGGGACGTCCTCCCGAAGTGAAAGGTGCTCTATAAATGGAATCTTGTTGTTGTTGTTGTAGTTAGGATCAGAAACAGGGCATGAATTCTCTAACCACCCACCCCAACCCACCATTCCCCAACAGGCGAGATTGAGATAATACTTGCGCTTGATATAGATCTCAAAGCTTATCGTAGGGTTTTACGGTCAAGTGTTTTCTGGGTGATCATAGAAGCCAATTTACACACATTACGCAACAGCATCCCACCACCGACAGTCATGAAGTGAATGACTATTGGGTTTAGATGGGGTCTTTTGGCCGGGTGTCTGGGAGAAATTCTTTTTACAAAGTGCCATGGGATCTTTAGCATCCACATGAACAAGGAGATTGGATCTCGGTTTAACGTCTCGTCGGAAGAATGGCACCTCCAACAATGCAGTGTTTCATTGGGGTGTTAGCCAAGATAATGAGCTAATAGTCCTGGCTTGGATCCAGAACCTCTGACTCAGAGGCGAGAATGCTACCAACTGGATCAGCCTGACACCAATTATTTGTAGAACTCTTAGCTGCTGCCTTGGATGAAATCACCTGACTCAGACCGAACATCGATCGTGGAATTTTTCTAGTCAATGGTCGTGATTTGCGTTGGGTGGTGTCTTTAGAAACAGAACTATAAGCTAAGCTGAGTTATTTTTTTTCATTTTGCAACATATTCTTTTAACAAGAATAGCTTTTAAGCATTGCACGTGTGTATGTGTGTGTGTGTGTTAGGAACAAGCAGCATTTGAGCAATTGCAAGAGGAAATAGGAACGTGAGAATTTTCCCAGAAAGAGATTTCACTCGTGTTTTGGAATGAGACCTGAAGAGGAGTTGGTTCAAACCTGGATTCAGTGTTGGGGCAGAGAAACACAAGAATCCTGTATGATTTCCCGAGTTCCTAATAATAATAACTAATAAGAATCCTTGCATTTGATATAGCATATTTGCCTTGTCACATTGTTGAGGCTTCACAAAGCGCTTCACAGAAAATATTGTAAATGTTCATTATTCTAAATTAATGCAATGCCCATTTGCCATAAGAAGCAAGTTACTATTCCTCCCAACACCACCTTCCTGACTTGTTCGGTGAAGCCATTATCCAATGTGAAATTAAGCAGACAGAGAAAGAAGAACAGTATCAAATTACATTTGTATAGTGCCTTTCACGTCAGGAGGGTGTCCCAAGGCGCTGGACAGTCAGGGATGCGCACCTGAGCTGGTGGTTGGGATCAGGAGGGGTTGAGGACGGGGAGGGTTGAGGTAGAAGAGTTCCAAAGGGTTACATTTTTTCAATTTCAATTTTTTCAATTTCAAACCCAACAATATTGAGCCAACAATATTGAGCCAACAATATTGAGCCAACAATATTGAGCCAACAATAAAGCTTTGGAACAGATTAGCAAAAGTTTTCCTGTTCCTCATTGCTATCCGATGACCCTCCAACACACACACACACACACACAAGAAAATGTATATTTGTTGATATCAAGAAAGGACAAATCAGTCTTGACCGAACAGCCTGCTGATTTTTGTTGTCTGGGCTTACACATGAAAATGGGCATTTAGACAACACATCAGAGGGCAAAAAGTTTCTCTGGAACTGTATCCCAGCATGAGCCAATGCTTTAAAGAGAGAAAAATTTGAAGGAGGAAGAAAAGAGACATAAATAATGACATTCAAATCGCAGAACCCTGGTTTATTTTCATTGTAGTTCACTTGGAAAAATGTTTGGAGACATAAAAGGAGACTCATTGGCAATATCGGGAATAATCTCCATTGGATCTGTGGGAAAAGAACCAGATTTTTTCCTGTTGATCCTAACCATAAGCCACGGGGGGAAAAAAAATCTCTCTTGGGAGAGTTTTTCTCAGGACACATCCCAGGAGTCATTTGACTTGCAGATTGCAGCCCATGGGTTTGTGTCAGAGTGTTGAACCATTTGCAGGCTCCTATTCATGTGCTAATTGATTGTAAAGCATGCAGGAGCCCTAAACTGACCCTGTCGCTTTGCCTAGGTTAAAGTGAATAAAAATAAAGGATTATAGAGGCCTTAGAACTCCGAGTGACACCACTAGTCTTTCAAAATACAGGAAGCTGCTCTGTAGGAGCCTCTTGTATTCACAATGAATTGTACTTTAATTAAAGCAAATCAGCCCCAAAGACTTAAAATAAAACCACTTAACCTGGAGTATTTTAAAAACATATTATTTTTATGGGTCCAGGAGAATGATGTTGAGCGACCTCAGCAAGTAGAGAGTATATGTTTAGGAGGCGCAGCCTGTGGAAGGATAATGTTTTGAGGCTGTGTGTTCTTGACAGAAGCTCAATAATTGTCAGAGGTCTGAAATCTCACTGAGTCTCATTCTGTAAGCACATGTGCGGAGAAGGAATTTCTCCCCATGTCCTGACCAGCAATCCCCCCAAATCAAATAGTTTGTTCGTTTCATGCCTGTTTGTGGGACATTGGGCTGCGTGTTCACCTACGAATACGGTCACTCCACAATAAACCCCGTGAAGCGCTTTGAGGTGTCCTCCCAAAGTTAAAGGAGCTACAGCAAATTCAAGGATTGTTGTTGTCTTAAAATGAAAGATCAGCCTGAATTCCGAATAACAGTCTTAATTCATCAGCTCTTATTTCCCAAATCTTTCGAAGTGTGCTTCCAAAATAAGACTGTACTTTCCACATTCCTGTGCAATCTTCATTTTTTTAAGATAACAAATGCCTTCGTTGGGATTTCATTGCTTCTGAAGTGTAAGGTTAGGGCTTTTTTTCAATAGAGCTGAGAAGGAAGACTAAGGCTTGACTTGATCAAAGCTTTCAAGATTATGAAAGGTTATGAAAGGATGAATAGTAATAGATTATTTTGCACTTGTCGTTGAGTCACACTTAAGAGAAGCGAGGGAAAAAGAATTAAAGGGGGGGTTAGAAGAAAATACTTTACAAAAGGTGAAATTCTCTGAACACACACTTGTTGTTGAAGCAGAATCCATAAATTCATATTTAACATCCACCCAAACAGATAGATGGGACCTTGGTTTAATGTTTCATCTGAACGATGGTTGTGCATGAGATAAAATACAGAATCTAAAAGAAAAGACTTGCTTTGGGGAATCTGAGGCTAAGCCAACTGTAAAAAAACCTGAACATCAGTAAAAAAAAACAGTTCGTCACCAATAGGCAGTCCGTCTCAGCAGAGCTCAATGAATGTGTTGCTGTAAACCACTGACACTGGCTCCAAACCAGGAAGCTTTCAATGCAGTTTTACGGCACCTCCTGTCTTCAGGCAGCCCCAGGTGTACAGATATATGCATCAGCTCAGTGAGGAGGCTTCAGTGCATGAAATTGCAGATGAAATGTGCTGTGAAATAAAGCCATCCGTCCGCAAGGCCACCGTGCTGTCGTTTGCAGTCAGAGAAACATCCTGCGCTTGGACTATGACTTTGGAAAAGGACGAGGATTCATTTTCACCGTCTGTGGTCGGAAATTGAATAATGATAATAATAAAAAATAATAATGTGGTCGTTCAACCCACGGCTGTTTGTGGGGACGCTGCTGTGAGCAATTGGCTGCCGCGTTTCACCCACCAAATACACAGACAATTCGCTTTACAGTATATTCTGTGAAGCGCTTTGAGACGTCTCGAAGACGTGATAGGGCGCTGCATCAAATGCAAGGATTATTGTTATCATTATTATTATTATCATTACCCTGAGATCACAGGCAACAGACCTGTAGTCCAACATAACTCAACTCTCAATTGCCAGGGAGAGGAGAGAAAACAACTTCAGAATGTGGAAAAAAATGCCAATTTAAATCAATGAAAGAGTGTTTGTGTGTCAAACACAAGAGTCCTGTAGCTCAGTGGTTAGAGCACTCGCTTTGCAAGCGAGAGACCTGAGTTCAATTCCAGGCAGAGGGCGAGACCTTGGGCAAGTTTCCTTACTCCACACAGAGCCTAATAATAATCCCTCCAAAACCCAAAACAATAATAAATTGGTCATTTTCAATCCACGGCTGTTTGTGGGGCAGACGCCGCTGTGCGCAATTGGCCGCCGCGTTTCGCCCACAAATGTACAGTCATTTCACTTTACAGTCTATTCCGTGAAGCGCTTTGAGACGTCGAGAAGACGTGAAAACCACTATATATATATCAAATGGGAGGATTATTATTATTATTATTATTATAAACAGTGAAGCGCTTTGAGGCTTTATACTGGAGGGAGAGTCAGGTTGTTGTTTTTTTTGTCAGTGAATGCTGCCCTCTGGTGGTAACAGAACGCGATAACACCCAAACCACATTGGTATTCAGCAGTTGAAGCAACTTCAGGCAGATACACTCAGTAAATTATTCAGAAGTGCCAGCCCACCAGGGCTCCCCCAAACTATTAAAGTATTAATTATTAACAACACTCTCGATTAGAGCCTTAATTCACTTTAAATCTTTGCACTGGGGCTTTGTTACGTTAAATGAATAATTATTGTCGATATGCTCCCCCTACTCCGAAGCTGAAGGTACTCACTGATGCTGACTCAGTTTGCAGTGGCTCATACCCCTATGTAGACTCTGTTCCACACACGTCAGCCCAGACAGTGAGTATCAGCAGACTATTCAACTGTGGGATGCATCACACCTCAGGCAGTTCCCATTGTCAGCCAACGTTATCCACACTTACACACAGACATCATTTTTTTTGTCGGACACTGTAAATCTATTTTACTGTAAATCCTGTCCTCCCGACGTGAAAAGCGCAACATCAAATGCAAGAACTTGGATTTGATACGGCGCCTCTCACATCAGAGGACATTTCAAAGCAGTTCATAGGATTGCAAGGCAAACATGGCAGTCATTGTCGCACAGCAAGTTCGCACTAACTGAGTTGCATGACATATTAATCAGAGTGATTGTTAGCCAACACACCTGGGTCAGGTGCAGCACCAGTCAGACAGAGTGAACTTCCCTCTGCACCATCCCTCCCGAACAATGCCATGGAATCTTGAACGACGGCTACACCATACTTCGTGAGTAGAAAATCTGAACTGAACTGATTGGGAATGTGGCCCAGGATTCCACTTTTCCTGGGTTTATTGCTGGTTCGTGTGATTGGGAAAGGTCAGTGAAGTTCTCCTTGCCGAGTTCCATTGCATCAGTGGGGCTGACAAGATCGGTCACTGAACTTAACAGTAACTACCTGTGAAATGCTTTATGATGTTTTGACTTGATGGGGTGCTGTAAATAAGCAAGACACCGTGTTTATTTCTTACATGTGGCTTCTATTTTTACTACCTGCTCTGCTTTAATCTGTATTTCACAGGCCATTATCAGACCTCTTAACGTGAACACAAAAATCCACTGATCCCATGTTTAAAGACTCTTGTGACTATTGATTTTTTTTTTAATTTCCCACAAAATTAATGGAAGAAAAAGGTTGGCGAGTGAAAAAATTCACTGTTGTTCCAATTCTGTCTCCAGACCGCCGCCGAGTGGCAGTGTTTGGGTATTGCTTGTTTGGTGCAGTAGGGTAGAGATTCCTGCAGTTTTGAGACGTCAAACCGGCAGTGATGACTTCCCGAGCTTTAGATTTTATCTTGAGTGGTATAATTCTGATATCCATTGCTGGAGTGGATGATGTACTTTCCTGTCTCAGCCCCTTGATGCTAAAAACCCATCGCACCACGCGCCGAGTCTTTGTGAAACGTTTTCAGATGCTTTCCCAATGTGAAATAAGCCACAAGGTGCTTTAAGTTAAGTCTGTTGGGGGACAGGGAGCCAAGGGAGCCGGATGAGGATAGATGCGCAGAGCCTCAGTAGGAGAGAATATGGGCAGAGGAGATCTGTGCTTCTTACAGCTGTGACATGCCTTGTCTCTGGTGCAACTGGGTTAAACTCTGCAATGCCCAGCTCCGGAAGCCACCTTAGTCATTGGGCATTGACCTAGAAGCAGCAATCCATGCTGATTCAACCCCCCACCCCTCACACACTTTTCCTTGCTGCAATACACCTGACAGATCAGGGACCTTCTGTCTGTTCGGCTCAGTTACACAGTGACTTAACTCACTCTGCCATTGGGGGAAGATGTTTCCAATGCTTTTGAGTTGCTGCAGTTTAAGTGCGATGGGTTGGAATTGGTTTGAATGAGAACAATGTTGGAATCCATTCTCCCAAAAACTGACAGCCAGGCAGAGGAGCGAATAAAAATTAAGTTATAATTGTTTCTTGTGCAAAATCGTAATAAACTCTTCATAAATTATTAACAAAATCGTCATAATAAACTTGAAAGAAAAATAACCAACATCCTTTGAAATTGCTGTACATGCAAAACCTGGCAAATAACAAAAATGGAATTAATTGATCCTTTTCGCAATCCTTGCCTTTCCTTAGGGTAAGTGACAGCGTTAAGAATGAGGTAAGATATATTTTTAAAACAGATATGTTTAAATCACAGCTTCCGCCTTCCTGATTGGATGCTAATGAAGAGCTCTTTGTCCAGTTTGACGTATCTCCCTTGCTGTTGATCGAGGAGGTAGAGCCTGTCTGGCACAAGCGTTGGGTCAAATCCCTCTTTTTTCATCTCTGTCTTCTGGAATTTGAACGTTGCTGGGAATAAAGGAGGACACGTTCAACTGTTTAATCTGGAGTCATGAACGCACGTAGTCAAAATGCGCACTAGCTTTCTCTCTCTCTCTCGCGTATCTGCAAGCGAGTATCTTCTCGAATCTCTGAGCGTCTGTACCTGTCTTGCTGACTTCGGGCAGTATCCTCAGGAAGACAGGGCGAGCGTACGAAGGCAGGGCCTTTTCTAGATCTCTGTAGAACCTCTCCAAGTCCACAGTCTGGTTGGGGTCTGCCACGGCTGCCATGCCAGCTTTCCCTTCCACACCTGGAATGAAAATGAATGAACAGAATGAAAGTGACAATCCTCTGAGAACATCGACAAGCGCCAGAGAAGTTACGCTCCGCAGTCATCCTCTGAACCGGGTAGAAACAACTTAATTCTCCAACCACAAGTCCAGATCTGGGAGTGTCACTTGATAAATTAGAGTTTATAATAATACTTGCAATGGATATAGCGCCTTATGAAGCCTCAAAGCGCTTCGCAGAATAAACTGAAGTGAATTGACTGTATATTTTGTGCGCAAAACAAATTTTAAATCCTGTCCAGGAATCATCCTTGTTGTGCTTCTCTGTATCCTCTCCAATGCTAAAGTAAAGCCTCCTTTTGGAAGGAAGGAAGTCATTGTAGTTATATTTATCTACAGCTGTGTGAAGCACTGTGGAGACCTCCCTAAGGCAGTGTTCCATAGGAATTAACCTGTGCTCTGAAGCTAAAACGGCACAGGACAGCCGTTAATAATCTCTCTCACACACACAAACACACGCTCAGACCTCAGAGCACTATAACACATACCTGGCACGTCCACCCCATACACCACAACATCAGCCATGTCGAGGATTCGGCTCAGCGTTCCCTCCAGCTCCGTCGTCGACACGTTTTCACCTTTCCAGCGGAATGTGTCTCCAGTGCGGTCCCTGAAGTACATGTAGCCACAATCGTCCATCACCAGCACGTCACCTGGACACGGGGAGAAAAAGAAGAGAACATCAGAAACCAGAACCAGCTCAGCTTCTGCTGAATCGTGTGTGTTTCAGTGAACCATGTCCAGTGTGAGTGTGAGTCGGAATACATTGGTGTTGACCATAACTGAGATTAGCTCCAGTGAGGGAGTTAAAACCTGCAGCGACTAGCTTAATGAGCCAAATGGCTTATTGTGTTAGTTTCCAACGACTGCATATGACATTTTTCTTCGTTAAACATCAGGTAATGAATGAAACGGTGCCACTGATAGTAGAGGCCACTAGGCCCACCAGGGAGCAGGACTGAGCCAGATAAATGAGAAGGTCCCAGGTTCAACTCCCTGCTCCGCGCTGTTTGTTGGCTGGTCTCAGCCAGGACAGAACATGGAGCTACAATTGCTCCTGGAAGATCTGGGTCAGGAATCTCTGGTGAACGCCAAGTCTTTCTTACCCGAGAGGTAGGCCATGTCTCCCTTCTTGAAGACATCGTGAGCGATCTTTTTGCTTGTGGCCGTCTCGTTGATGTAACCATCAAACCTGCGCAGAGGGTCGTTCTGGACAATCCGACCGACCAACTGACCCGGCTCACCTGAGAGGAGCAGCGGAGAGATGTTTATAGTCTTTGAAGGTTAGAGACAACAACAACAACTTGCATTTATATAGCACCCTTCACGCGGGGTAGAGTCCCGGAGTGTTTGACAGTGGCGGAGTCTGACCCTGAGCCAGGGTTAGAGGGGAAAGGGAGGGGGGAGATGACTGTAAGCACGATCAAAAAGGAAGGTGCCTAGATGGGATTTGAAAGGAGGGAGGGAGCAAGGCGGAGGGATTGAGGGAGGGCGTTCTGAGCATAGTGGCTGAAAGCACGGCCACTGATGGACCTGGAATACCTGGTTGACAGGGAATGCAGACACCGTCAGACCCTCGGATCAGTTCCATCGTGTCCTCATCCACTCGTACCAGTCGGATGGGGTAGAAGTGGGGCAGGATGCGACTGTTAAACCCACAGGCCCCGTCCTGAAAGCAATCGGCAGACGACCGATTTACGATATTTAAAATTTACAATATTCCATCATGTTTCAGAGTAAAGTGAAAGAAAATTTGGAATTGAAATCCATTTATAAATACAGCTATGAGCCCGAAAGGAATATGAAGCAAAAAAACATGCAAAAAAAGGTCCTTTCTCTCTGTGATGCGTAACAGATACCGGTTTCTGTACTGCACCAAGCTGTGGCTCAATCTACAGAACCACAGATATACTGCTTCCTCCGCACTGTTCCATCCAGCCCTCCCAGATTAGCTGCAGGTTATATACAGAATAAAGCTTGTTCTGCACTTTTCTAATCAACAACGACAATTTGCATTTATGTAGCGGCCTTCACGCCAGAACGTGTCTCAGAGCGCTTTTTGGACATGTGCAGCATTGGTTAGATACAGAGTAAATTTGTCTCCACACTGTTTCCAACCAGCGCCCCCAGGTCAGCCACAGTTAAGGTGACAGGCAAAGTAGAACTCCCTCCACACTGTTCGCTAGCTAGCACTCCCAGATCAGCGACAAGACAGGTTAATTAGCAAACAGTAGGACATCACTGGACAACTCGGGACAGGAACCCTGGCTGATCTGTTTCACCTCCCACCTTTCTCACCCAGCTCTGTGCACCTTGTTGTTGAAGTTGCCCAGGCTGCAGTTGCATTCCGTGGCTCCGTAGAACTCGGCCACTTGTGGGACGTGGAAGCGGGAGGTGAAGTCTCCCCAGATGGACGGACGCAGTCCATTCCCCAGCGCCATGCGGACGTTATGCAGTCGCTCCACGTCTCGGTGCGGCTGGCTCAGCAGATAGCGGCAGATCTCCCCGATGTACTGAATAATCTGCGTAACAAACAGAAAACACAGGACTCTTCAATCCTTCGAACACTTGTTTTACCACCAGTTTTTCCCCGCCTGAAACCACTTTATTCATGATTAAGTAGGGAAACCTTGGCTTATTGGATGCCTACCCCAACACAGGAGAAGTGCTCAGCATCACTGTAGCCCCAAGCAATGGACGGTACCTTTACCCTCAATACTATCAAGGAGCTCAAATGGTACTAGTCATTAGGAATATTGAGCCTGTAGTTTGGTGCTTGGGTTCATCCCAATCACCTGCTATTCCAGCAGTATCCTAAACGCACACACTCTCTGGGGGTCCCCAAGCCTTGGCTCTTGCCAGCCTGCACCTAATACTTTCCAGAATTGGGTGAGCAGGGTATGTCCCTCCAGGGAGAGAGTACGCATTGCATTCCGACAATCTATCTCTGTAATTTCAATGTGTGAGTGACATGCATGGAAATCTCAGCTTGGTTTTGAGACTCTAAAGCATGATGGTGGGTTTCTGCATGTGTCAGACACCCGGCTGAACAACAAAATCTAGTTAGTACTTCTCCCCTACATCCTGAGGTCTTGTCTCCAGGATGTGGGGAATTTCCTACAATGGAAATAACAAATTCAAGAGCTAACTGTGTGGGGAGCCACAGGCTGAGGCCAGAGTCCCTTCGCTCTGTGACATAAGGGTATCCCCGAGAAGCTGACTTGATGGACTGGTTCTCAGGCACAACAGAGTATTCCCCACAACAGATACTCACGGTGCACTTGTACTTGATGCAGTCGTCCCAGAAACGAGAGGCGGAGAACTTTCTCCTGATCACAACAGTCATTCCATGGAGGAGGCACTGTCCGACTCCGACAATGTTACCTGGAACGCCAAAGACCAGGTTAATAGCCGGCAATGTCCTGGCGGTGAGGGACTTGAGTTCAGTTCAACGAGTTGAATCACCACTTATATGCAACAGCAGGGACGGAGGGGAAAGGGAAATCGACGCAGTTTGGCATGCCAAGAGTACGTGTGAGTCAGAACCACAGTTAAGTTCTTGGTCACAAGAAAACAGTCTTGTGCAGTGAAGACACACAGACTTGGAAGGTCCCAGGTTCAGTATGTGGTTAAGTGATCTCAATGGGGACTACAGCGCCCTCTTGTTTTAGATTAGGGAAAAATCAGCCAGGGTTTCCCCTTGAATGTTTGTTAGAGGCTCTCTGCTGGACTTGTGCACGTGTGGGTATTGGTGAAGTTCGGATCAGAGTTCAGCTGTGATGCCACTGGCGAATCCCCAACCGCAATGAATAATAATCACGAGGGCGAGACATTGAAGGGTGATTGGCAAAACAGTTTCAACCGGGCACTTTGAAATAGGATTTGAGAGTCAAGAACTCTCAACTATTAGTAAAGGAAATGTGTTGAGCTGGTCCCAGATCTTGTCTGGCCTTGGCAGACCGGAGCAAAGCCCGGTTATTGACTACAGAGTCCCACTCCCGGCCCCAGGTTACCTGCAGAATGGTAGAGAGGCAAACAGTCGTACACAATGTCGTCGGCAGTCATGCGGAATCCATAATAAACCAAAGCTGCCATCCGGTAATACCTGGCGAGACAAAGGACCTCTTTAGAATTACTATCTAAGGGTTTTGCATTGTAAAGTGGCAAGAGTTTAACCATGGCTCGAGATGATCCTATACCCGGAACAAAACTGAGCATTCTAATGGCATCAAGTTATAAATAATCAACGGCTGATGAATAAAAAGAAAATGCAGCTGCCAGATGCTGTACACAAAGCAGTCACTTAGGGACTGGATTGATGGAAGATCTTTTAGCCATATTGGTTATAATCCACATTGTAGAATTTTTCCTTCCACTTTTCTCTCCAATCGTTAATCTGGAGCTATTCGGGAGCTCCCGAGAGCAATTCATTTTCGGTCCTGAGGCAGCGTCGGATGCACACAGACTCCACCCTGCAGATGAGCTTGTAAGTGAGCTCCGGGACCCTAGCCTGCGTGAATGGCGCTATATAAATGCAAGCTGTTGTTGTAAATACTGCAACCGTACGCACTGCTACACTCCCAAACTCTTGGCTCGGCTCACGGGTTCGTACCTGCTGTGTACGATGATAGCTGCCTTGGGCATGCCCGTTGTTCCTGAGGTGTAGATATAAAAGAGTCGATCTGAAAGACAAATATATTCATAGGAGCTGTCAACGTTACATCTTCGGCAGGCGGGGTGGTGGTGGGGCGGGGTGGAGGTTCGTAGGGGAAGGAGCGGAGCCGGGCAATTGCTAAACTGAATTGAATGGGCTCTGAGGGCACGAGTAGTCCAAATCACTGTTAATGGTGATCAGTCTGCCTAAGACTTGACACGTCTTTAACCCTCCGAGCCAAAGCCACAGTGGGTAGGTGGTTGTCACTGAGTAAATGAAACGTGCCGGTAATTTTGGCAGTTAACTTTGGCAATACATATGCTGCTATGATATGCTGCTCCGTTGACCACATTATCACTGGCCAACAATACCCCAGATAAAATTGGTCACTTGCTTCGTGACTGTTTGCAGGACATGATTGTTGGACACAAGAGGCTGCTGTGTTTTCCTACAAAAATGCAGTCACTGCACTTTACATTTTGTCGACGTGATCAGGCACTGCATCAGAAAGATTATTCTTATGGTAAACAGAGGGATTAATTATCTGGGATTCTTATACCTGAGAAGCCACGGTTCTGGAGAGGGACTGGTGGCCCTTTCGGAGCATGTTCCAGTAAGGAGTCAAGGTTTTTTGTGCTTGGGGGAACCACGTTCTTATCCCATTCTCCAGAGCAGTACAGTTGCACCGATTTCCCCAACACCTCATGGATCTCCTTCAAAGCTGTCGAAGCAAACCACACATGCGTACGTTTGTTACACAATCATCAGCAGCAGAAAAAGGCATAAAAAGTGCATCCGAAGCAAGAAGCAGGACACAAGGGATACCTATTAGCGACTCTCCCACAGGCGAGAGAGCTGTAAGCAATGGCTGTTAATGAAATGGATCATGAGCAGGGAATGAACTCCTCGGATGTTGTGGGGAGGTATCATCCGCTAATGATAGTAAATCCCATTACCAGCTGAGTAATCCCTGCAAACTCACTGCTGCTGCCTTCTCCTGAGGTCAGTGCAGTGTAGTGGTAGGCTGCAGCGTTAGCTGGTTAAACTCCAACAACACGCACTGAGGATCTCCTGCGAATCTGCACCGACATTCTCTTGGGATTAAGGTACGTGGGATGTGTCTGTTCTTTTGGATCCACACCAGATAAAACAGAAACTACTTATTTGGAACTGGAGGATGGTCCATTTGGAGACTTTCTGGAGCAGGCTGGTGGGTTTCTGTACCTATCATGTAAAGCCGGCCATACAAAGAAAAATCAGTTTCAACCACAAGCTCCAATAGCATGATCCCAACTCAACAGCAGAAAGTACACAACAAAAACAACTTGCATTATATAGTGCCCTTCATGCCCTTAAATGGAGGTCAGCCTGAATGGACAAAGCGAACAAAGGGAAAAGATGGGATGGGATGGGGGGGGGGAGGGGGGTTTGGAGGGAGAATCATGGAACGTGAAAACAACTCGGAATTGTACGAGAGCCCTGCTTTTAGTTACCGTCCTTCAGATCGCTGCCAAACACCAGCGCCTTGGCCTTGGAGATGGTGATGCAGTGCACGAGGGCGTCCATTCGCAGGTTGAAGTTGATGAGAGCGGCTTCCACGCCGATCTTGGCCATTCCCAGCCACAGTCCCACGTACTCGTTGCGGCTCTCCATGAAGATGGCCACCACGTCCCCCGGCTGATAGCCCTGCTCGTGGAAGAAGTTGGCGACTCCATTAGAATACTCGTCCAGGTCCGCAAAGCTCCACTTGGTGTCCGTGCCCTCGTAGATGAGGGCCGTCTTGTTGGGGTGCCTCTGGACAATTTGGCTGAAGATTTTCGGGACGGTGTGGTTTTGCTTTAGATGATGCTTGACGCTTAATTTCACCCTCAGGAGAACGCCGGCAGCACTGAAATAAAGTGCAGGAAAAACAGACGTTAAAATTTCAGCGGATGGTAGAGAGATATTCCATTTTCCACTTTCCTTTGTGAAGTACCAGCGCCAAAGGTTAATTTGGTGACTGTTTTTTTCCGTGAGTCTTTTTCAGTATTGCACCAAAACTGCGACTAAATGTGCAGAATTCCGCACAACCTATATCTTTAAGACCATTTTGGTCTTGAGGTTAAGACTCGTGAATTCCAACCGGAGAGGTGCGAGAACTCTGGCTGATGATATTTCCCCTCTCTCATGCAAGCAGTCCAAAACTGCTGTTGAAGCTGAGATCACCTAAACTCAGCACAGACCAGCTGTTTGGACGCTTCACCACAGTTGAATGTGTGACATTTCCAAAGTAACGCTCAGCTTCAAAACAGTTGCCTTAAGCAGCGTCCAATACAACTGAGGAAAGCTTCACTGCGAGCTTTTGTTTCAACAAAAAGTAAAAGGTTTTTTTTTCCCCCATGATTTGATTGCTTTTAGCTATCATAATAATAATCCTTGCATTTGGTATAGCGCCTTATCACTTCGTTGAGACGTCTCGAAGTGCTTCACAACGTACTGTAAAGTGAATTGACTGTGCATTTTGAACTATGGCAACTATATGCTTCTCATTGTGACGTTTTATGGAGATTTTCCCAAGACTATTTTCTTTTCCCTCATAATGCATTATTGCTTTTTCTTAACAGTAGCATAATTAACCCCCCAGTTTTTTTCTCTCTTGTTCCCCTCATGAAGAACAAGCGAGAGGGTGAGAGAATATGAAAAAGAGAAGAATGATGGGAGGGGAGAGAGAGAGATCATCATGAGTTACTCAGGCAGATGGCAGATAAGAAATATTTTTATATATATTTGCAAGTTTGTTTAATAAGTAATTGAATTAAAGATCAGGACATGGGACTTGGGTATGAATTTCACAACACAAAAACGCAGTGCCATTTGCCAAGAACTGTATCTTCTTGTCGAGAAACCTTTGCTCCCAGGCTGTGTAATTGAGTTAGGGTGGAGTCTAACGTTGTGGAAACAGAAGAGGCTTCATTTAAAAGGAATAATCAGGACAAAAAATGTTCAAACTACAGCCAGTGCCAGGTGTGGCAGTGAGCACAATTCCTCATTGTCTGGTTCTGACATCTTATGTTCTTGTGTTCTCTTTCCCAATACATAATTTCAATGCAGGTCATGTTCACTGAAGCAGAAAAGAACTTTACATTCCTCGTCTTGGCTGCTCCCATTGTAAAATACCTTCTCTCCCCAAATCCACTGTGCCAGCAACAGCCTATCCAAAATTCCTTCTATACTTCTTACCTTCGGTAAACAGGATGCATCCCTCCAGGGAGAGAGTGTGCATTCCAGTCCAACAATCTATCTCAGGAATTTCCAATTTAGTTTGGATAGCCTTAAGCATGGTGATGGGTTTCCACATGTGTCAAGATACCTGCTACCCCATGAGACACGCTTTAAAAGTCGGCGTGTTCCTTCTACTGAGATGTAAGTTAATTTCAGTAACTTCAGCTACCCCATGTGACAAACAAAACTCGCCCTCTTCAACTCTTCAGCATGTTAACCACACTGTGTAAAACAACTACATGTAAACTGGCTATTTATTGCTGCCTTGCACTGTTGGAGCACGATAAGCAATGAGTCAGCACACCCTCTTAGGTCTCTTGTAACTTGGCAAGCTCAGCATTTAGCAAAAGTGCCTCCTGATTTTCCTTGTGAGTTTGAGACTATGAACCCTTGTTGTCAAGATATTGGTCATCTTAAACAACTTACTGCACTCCTGCTTATCTATATTTTTTTAAGAATTTAGACTTCAGTAATCCATGACCTCTCCTCTGGTGTAACCATTCCCACCTCGTGCAATCTCTCCTCATAGTTCACTCACTGAATCGCATGGATTAATCCTGCCGTCCTTCTGGGTTAGCGATCAGAAATGAGAAATCAATGGCAGATTTTGCCCCTCATGAACCAAGTTGCAGCTCGAAAAGCAGAACCAACTGATACACCAGCTATGCATGAGTGCAGACTTTGGGTGAGCACTGGTGATCTGGGTTTGGCTGCAATGATTTGCACCCTTTACCCCTCCCTCCACCCCTGTCGATTACCCTGCTGACACTCATGGCCAAGGCTCGCACATGAATAATGGCGCTTGGACTAGACACTGGAGGGCACCCATGAAATTACATCTCAGTAAAAGGAACACGCCGACTTTTAAAGCGTGTCTCAAGACTTTTAATGGTGCTCCCTCATCCTCTTCAGCGACCCCAACACACACACACGCGCACACACACACAGGCTCAGGTGCACAACCAACTGCGGTAAAGCACTTGGAGATGTCCTCCCAACATGAAAGGAGCTGTATAAATAAACATGTAAACTGTATTGTCAGGGACAAGATCATCTGTCCCTCCAGCAATATAAAAAAAGGAACTACGCAAGGTCAAGTCTTGCCTGTGGTTAAAACAGTAAACCGTTCTCCTGTCATCTGATTGACTGTGTGTGTGTGTGTGTGTGTGTGTGGGTGTGTGGATTCTAAATGAAGAACTACGTTGTTTTATCTATGTACAAAGTATCTTTGTGTCTTGCTATACAAAGTGTTCGTATTGAAAAATATATGGGAAATGCAAATCAGACTGATCAGCATCTGAAAGAGAAAGAGACTGGAAAACATTCTGGATGTGCCACATTGTGACAGAACCATAAGAATAAGAGTAATCCTTGCATTTGATGCGGAACCGTATCACGTGGTCGATACATCGCTAAGCACTGTCAAGTGGATTGACTGGATTTTGTAGGCAAAATGCAGCAGGATATTCTGTCAAACTTATATAACTGTGCAGCAAGTTTACTTGTCTAGCCAGGAACCTCCCTCCCTATAAGGGATTTGGCTCAAAATTTTAAGGACTTGTCTCCCAGATATTTTTCATTAATCACATCAGCCCAAGGGAGGCACCACTTATCTTAACAATGATTATTATTATTATTATTATTATTATTATATATGTCCAATCATTGGTAAAAAAATTACAAATATTATTTCTCCTGGACATGAGTGATGTTGTATTCCTAATGTCATGCGACTTCGATACGTGTGGTTGAGAGCGATGCAGGGGGTGAGAGAAGAGGAAGACTTCATGTTTTATGCTGAGCAGAATATCTTCTCCATTTTCCCCCTCCCACCTACCCGCCCCGGGTACGTGGGCCAAGTTACTCCATGTGTGCTGATAAGTTTGTGGCAGTCTTACACTGCTCGGAACACCTTAAACCTGTTCTGCGGCTATTCACTAAAAGACTCTGTCAATTCCCTTCTGGGAACCAGTG